AGTAATTACTTAATAACTACTCAATAACTACTCAGTAACTACTCAAAAACTAGTCAGTAACTACTCAGTAATTACTCAGTAACTTTTCAGTAACTACTCAATAACTACTCAGTAACTACTCAGTAATTACTTAATAACTACTCAGTAACTACTCAAAAACTAGTCAGTAACTACTCAGTAATTACTCAGTAACTTTTCAGTAACTACTCAATAACTACTCAGTAACTACTCAGTAATTACTTAATAACTACTCAGTAACTACTTGATAAGTAGTCAGTAACTACTCAGTAATTACTTAATAACTACTCAGTAACTACTTAATAAGTAGTCAGTAACTACTCAGTAATTACTTAATAACTACTCAGTAACTACTCAGTAGTTCCTCAGTAGTTTGTACCTTATTGTACACTGCTACCCCTTTTGTTTGTTTGTTTTCAAGTCCACAGCTAATCAACATTAGCCAACACAAACACAAACTATACCTCAGTGAGTTTTTAGATAATGAGCTAAAACGTAGAGTGGTAGTAGCTGAGAGTCACCCTCAGCACACATTGTGAAGCAGAGAGGAACCCACTCGCACCTGATTTAAAATCTGACTAAATTGATTCCTGACTCTCTGCTCTTTCAAACTTCTTGGCTCTTTTCACATGACACCTCTTTTCACAGAGCGTCAGCCGAGAGGATGACATTTACAGAGACACCAGCTTGTRTGAAAGAGAGAGAGATAAATTAGAAAATTTAAAATTTAAAAACACAGACCAACAGTTCTTTCCAATAAACATTTTAGGCAGTGAACCAAAAAAATCACAGACATAAAAAAATTTTCCAAAGAAGTTTGTTTCTCATTATGGGCGARAAAGACTCCCCCTCAGTGCATTGATTTAACCCAATGTTTCTGCCAATAACGCACACAAAAGCTGCAGCCTCTAATAACAATATTAGCAAACCACTTAATGCACTAATCAATGCTCTGACCACTGAACGTGTAGCTTCTGCTCCAGCTGCAGAAACAGCTGCTCTGCAGGCAACACTGTTTCACATTTAGTCTGATCATTTCCTGTTTGGAGCCGAAGCAGGCAGGATGATCTGATTGTGGCTTTATTTTAACCAGCATCTTTAAACAAAAAGATAAAATGACTTTATCACTAACCTGTTCAACATGTCTCTAAATAAAGAGCAATATTTTGTTGTGTTCAGCTTAATAAACAAATAAAAAATTGTGTGTAAAGGTCAGCAGCAAATCTACTTTTTTAAAGAACTTGCGTCAAAGCTGATTCCACCTTAATTTGATCAAAACAGWAAAATAAAAAGTCATTTCTGTTCCTCATTGATACAGGACAAAAACAYTTTCTCTGAGAAGTAATGTTCATAACACCGTTAATGAAGACAAGAAATATATTCTCAATTAAACTGGCTGCAGTAGAGATAAATAACACGATCAAATACACAGACTCAAGTTAAATTACCCCCATTTAATTAGAAGTGAAGTCTATTTTCTTTAGATATAATTAGAGAAAAACAGCTTAAAGCGTCTGCAGCAGTCACGCAGGATTTGGCAGCATGGAAATGTGAGCATCAGTGACACACACACACATACATCCTGCAGTCACACTGAACACACCGCTGCTGCTGAGCCACACCTCTCTCCACAGGAAAAATAAATACATATAAACATGTTGGGCCCAAAACAGAAAAACAAAACACCCTTATTTGTTTTTTAAAAATGCATGTACGACCTGCAGGAAGCAGCCTTCCTTTTCGAATCATGCTGAGAGAAAGAAAAACAACACTGAATAAATGTGAGACTAAAAATAACCACCGTGTTATCATACGTCTTTTCAGACTTTATCTGGAAGTTTCTTCACTCCTGAGATTTGTTTTAATCCCAAATAAAACACCTGAACGGCACATAAACATCTGTCCCGATGGAAACAAACTGCCTTTCTTGACATTTTTATTGGTTTTCCTGCTGCAGCTGAATTCAAATGGTTGAAAACTTCTCATGGATRCGGAAGACTCAGCTACCACATCAAAGTTTAGTCAAATATCTGTAAACCTGACTGACTTATTGACATTTTTTAAAGGTCATTTGAAGGAGGATCCTAAAAGTTTTGTTAAAATTATCATGAGACATTTTGTAACAGAAACAACAAAGATTGTATTTGTTCTGCTTGGAATATGTGTTGGGCATCACTCTCAGCTACTACCACGTCAAATAYAAGCTGTGAAATTGACTGAATTACAGCAGCTTTGGGGTGAAAAGTGACTTGGCTGTGGCGGCCATCTTCAGTCACGTTGACTCCAATAATTTGATGCATATGTTATTTTTATTTAATTTTATTTTTGCAAGTTTCATTATAATGTGTCAGGTGGTTTGAGAGATATTTTGCTAACAGAAAAAAATTGTCACTAGTTTGGGGTCAGGCGAGAACARTAACTGTCGAGTAAAGAGGCTTGAAAAAATCAAACCATATTTATTTATCCCAGGTATCCTCCTGCTGTCTCTGAGTAAAAATCACTATAAACCTGGACTTCATGGGTCATTTTGACCCAAAGGCAGCAGCAGGGTAAAAATAACTCATAACATAATAAATAATTCCAGGTGAGGACAGGTGCTTCTCCTTTACATTTTAGATTTGATTTCTTCTTGTTTGTTAAATGAGTTAAAGTTTTTGATCTTTTCTTCCTGAAGGGTTTCAAACTCCTCCACGCGCTACACAGACCGTGCATGTGGGTAAATACTGGGCCTATTTATTGGAAACATCTCAAACCTTCTGTGAGTCACACTTGTAACCGTTTCAGCGCCGGATGCTGACTCGGTTCTGCTGAAACAAACCCGACCCAGTTCCCGCTCGTCTCTCGGGCTCGCGGCTCGGGGGGGACGGACGCTCCTCGCGTTCGGGATGCGTGTTTTTCTCACCTTTGTCCGTCGTCCACGCCGTTTCCGACACGGCGCCGTAGCTCCTGAGCACGCGCTCKGTGTCCGAGATAGATTTCTTCAGTTCCATGTCGGAAGAATTCACGCGCGCCGAGAAAACTGAGAGTGGATCTCAGGATCGAAACAATAAAAACGAAAGGTTCCCGGTGTTTGGTTTTCTTCAAGGCAACTCGGTTTCACCAAGTGACAAGCGACCCGCAACGCTGAGCATCTTCAGAGGAGCCTTCAAGTCCTGGAGGATGGAGGGGATGCAGTGCGCATGCGCAGCACGGACTGGGATGGAGAGGATGGGAGACGCGCACTGGCGCTCAGATAAAAAATAAACACGGTGGCTGACAAGTAAAAAATATTTTTAAAAGAATAATAACACGACGTGGAGCTGAAAATCATTTTKTGTTATAGTTATTTTCAAATCCTAATAAACAAAACATGACTATAAGTAGCTAAAAGTTTAAATAACCAAGAGCTAACTTAAAGTCAAAACTATAGCGAAACATTAGCTAAAAGTAGCAAAAYGTTAGRTAGCTGTTCAAAGTAGCTACTAAAAAGTTACAATTAGGGTAAAAAAAAATAGTGCTGCTGGCGCAAATATAAAATGTTTTTGAAGGAATTAGCGATTTTAAATGATTTTCTGTGACGAAAATCTTTGAAACTGTCAAACATTTAGAAAAGTTAAAAAGTAACAAAACCTAAAATTCACAGCATCCATCTTCTGAACAAGCCAAACATTTTTAAATTTAAAGAATACAAATGTAAATGTGTTCAAAAATCAACGAGGATGTTTTATTTCACAGTAACATCAATAACTGGTGCAAGAAATAGATAATATAAAGAAAAACTGATGTTAAGATGAGTCAGAAATTTCAGGCACCCGCTCATGAATGATTTGTTAACAACAAACAAGATTGTAAAAATACTTTTAATTTCCAGTTCAAGTATTGCACATTATTTTACAAATAATCACTCAAATCATTTAAATAAATCACTCAAATACAATACTGATGTCAAATTACTGCTCCTTCAACACAATTTAAATATGATAAACATGTGTATACTCTTCCATTATAGATTAATAAACAATAACAATTTAATTAATCCAGTATTGATATATTCTTACAGCATCATGAACTCTTTAAATAAAGGATAGAAACAAAAAGAATGAGTTAAAAGGCAGTTTTTCCTCTGAGCTGCACCATTTTTTAAAATAAATTAAACTCTTCAAAAGACTTAAAATACAAGAAAATCTTCATTAAATCTTAAATCCTCTAAAACACAACATTTAATCTTTGTTCAAATATGTCAGAATGTCAGATTATAAATGTGAAACAGGCAGGCAGCATTTTTACATTCAAATAATCCTCAATCAAACTGCAAACTTGAAAAAACACAATCATTTAAAGCCTGAAAAACAGGTTTGTGATTTTAATAAATAAAATTAAGTTGCTATTCAAACTGTAAGTATTACATGCCACTACTTTAAAAGTTAAAAAGTACCAGGATTTGACACGGACATGTTCAAATATTATCTTTGCAAAATTAAAATATCAAACTAATCGTTCAGCTACCAATCCACACWGTGGAGGAGATTCTTTGTAACACATTCAAGTTTCTTTAAAATGATTCAGTACATAAAAAACACAAAACTTGATGAGAAATTAGAAAAACAAGATGATTGTTCGACTTATTTCTTCCTGTTAATTGTTAAATATTGCAGTGCTGTGTACATTCAAAGAGCTGAATAAAACCTTGCAGCATTAATGATGGACATTTCAGTCTGGCAGTGTTACTGAGATATGAACCACAGAGCCACAGAACTGGACCTGGACCTGCTGCTTGTCTCGTCTCCCTTCGTCAACAGCTGACTCTGCTACTGCACGGGTTTAGCTGTTGCAGCTTCCTTCAGCTTAGAGTCCACCATCTCTTCTGCCGACTCTTCTTTAGGAGGGAACAACCAAGCCAGAGCGGCTCCAGCTGTACCGTCACCGGTCTGACGGGAGAAGCACAGGAAGATGGCCCAGACGAAGGCGCAGCAGCCGGTGAAGACGGTCCGGATGTACGGGGGCATCAAGGCAAAGTTCAGAAACTGACAAAAAAATAATATAAAAACAGAAAAATTCATTAAGAAATGTGAACAGGACAGCTTTGTGTAACCATTTACTGCCTGGACCTTGGAGCTCTGATTATCTTCACCACATGCAAATAGTCCAACACACAAAATGTTAATATTTACCTGCATAAAAGGCCAGTACATAAGTCCAGTCTGAAATACACACAAAGAACACAAATTACTAACTTCATCAGTCAACATCCACCAAACATATCTGCAATAAAATCACTTCTACAGGATGATACAAGTAACTGTCTTCACTTTTAAATACAAGTCCAAGTTCCTCCTTTGTTTTAAAYCTAAATACAATGAAGCCTAAATGCATTTAACTATGATATAATAACACAGAATTATAAAGTGGAGTTTAAACAGTTAATGGTAATATGTCTGTGTTTTAGTTTCCACTCTGACCCACCTTATACGTATTCAGAAATTTATTCCTCCAGTCCTCCAAGATGTCCTCTTTACCCTCCAGGAAACTGACGCCTGGACGACACAAAGGATTTCACACAGGAATCGTTTACAGATGGTTTTCCATCAACACCAAATGTCCAAAGTGTCACTAAATTAAATCATTCAGTRCTAATTAAAAAACATGTTAAATATTAGTTTATATTTTATATCAAAGTTAAAGATTGCTCCTCAATTATACCTAAAAGTATGAAGTCTTGCTTTAATTTCTCAAGACAGAACTACCATACATTTTGCACAATGAGTTTATAATGTCCAGATAATATAAATCTTCCACACTAGACAAATCATTCTTAAGAAGAGCAATAAAGATTTTAAAAATTTCTAATTTTAAAGTGCTCACTTTGTATTTACATGGTATACTTGGGAATTTAGAATAAAACTATTCATCAAAGCATGACCAGATGAATACAAAAATGTGTAGAATTATAAATATAATTGTTGTATAGAGGCCAGATTTGTGAAAATTTGCATACATTTATTGTTAAATATAAATTTATATAGTAAACTTATAGTTTTGTGGCATGTATGTGATGTATCTTTATACTAGAACAGACAGGGTGGTGATTCATATTTTTATCCAAGGGTTGTTCTGCCGTGATGCGTTCACTGACCTGTGTAAAACACAGTTGTAGCCAGGGGCGCCGCCGCCGCCTGGTCCAGGAACAGCTTCCTCATCACCATCCCGGCGGAGTTTCCAGGAAATCTGCGCTCTAGAAACCGCATCCAGAAGAAACTGAAATTGCCGTGAAAGCTGAAGGCGACCACGGCGACGTTCCTGGTCTGGTTCCAGTCCATTTCGTCCCTCCGAGACAACCGCTGGTGGACCAGGTCTCCTCCGGCGAACAGACAGCCGTAGAGCGTGACGTTCGCGAACCACGGGAAACGACGGACACATCTCAGAAACGCCTGTAACATGATTTTATGTCTAAAATCTCAGACTTGCGGGTGTAAAATGTGTTTTATGTTGGCGCTGTGATTTTCTCTCCCAACCCGAAGGCGAGCATCACTAAAACGAACAGAGCTCTACGTTTTCTCCCGTGTCTCAATTAAAAAAATTAAAATAAAATAAAAAACACCGACGACATAAAAAAAATTACATATTTCTAAAGTACTGAAAGTTGCAAAAGCGCTATAATTTCACACGGTGTGGCCCTCTTGGTTGTCAAACTCCACTCAGCACGACAGATTTCCACCGATCTGGGTTAGTTCCTGCGACGTACAATTTCTTACGCACTTATATTTTACGTAAAAGAAAAAAAACAGAGTGGGCGGAGCGTAGACGTGAATGATTGACAGGTATGGATGGTTCGCATAAAAGTAAAACTTTAATGGTAAACCAGTATTTTAATTTTGTTAAATTAATTTTGGCAGATGGAATATAGTTTTTAATCACATAAAAATYCAAATATTTTGACTAACAGAAAACACATTAACATTTAACTAGTTTTAGCTTTAACATTGACAATGCAGTTTTAGCATTTTCACAAAAATACTAGTTTTTCTAGTGCAGCTGGTGTCTGCAAAGAATCAACCGAATATTTCAACTCTTTTAAATTCTTAACGTTTGTAACACTCTGCAGGCATAAACGCTTCAAACTTTTACTGATTTACATTTATTTTGCAACCAGCATGCTCACAAGTTGCAACACATTTCACCAAACACCTAAAGCACATTGCAGCCTCTACAATTACACAACTTGTGAAGAAGGCCATTTSTTCAGATTTTAGCTGGTTTACAATWACTCAACCTGTTAAAACTGAACTGGATTGCATTAAACAAGACTCTTCAGCACCCCTTATAAAAGAATGTGATCAGAACACGTGTTTTCTGAAGCTAAGATTTTATAGACAGCAGCAAGTACAGTATGTGATAAATAAATTACATGAAACTCTTTTTAAGGTGCATTTACACACAAACACTTTTACAATTTTCAGATATTTGTCATGTTTTAAACATCAAATTTTCTGACAACCCATAATTATTCCATACCTGTGTATTTTAAGGTTTTTCAATAAATGCACACTTTTCAGTTTGGCTCTCTAAATATTAAAAGGCTGCAATCACCTTTTACTGCACRGTGTTGTCTGTAATACACTGATGATGTTACTAAAATCATATTTGCTTAAAGTATTTTCAGAGTCTGATCATTTTGGCACAAGAGTAGCTCACAATCAGAGATCAAGCACGTTTTTTTCTGACGCACTAATAAACACTGAACTTTTGCTTTGGACATGTTTAGGCAGTCAATGTTTATGAAGCAAAAAGAGTTAGGTTTCACACAAAATAAGAAAGTTGTTTTAYACTGATCATTATAAATCAAAACAGGTAATAAATAACATCGACGTAGCAGGCGGCGTAAGGTGCAAACTTCCGAACTTACAGGAGTGGAAATGACCGTTAGAAACACAGAACCAGAACATGACGAAACAGACGGTGGATCTGAGGGTCACAGTGTTTTCCCATCAAGCTGAGAGGCAGAAATAGGCAAAAAGAAACAAGATAAATCAGCGATAAAGAGTCTATGATTGGACAAGCCTCTCCCAGTCCCCATCCTGGCTCCTGCGGTAGAGCTGCGGCTGACTGTCTGGAAACAGGATGTCCGAGTACGGGTGCGCCAAAAGGAACTGGATGGTGGACTTCATGTGCTGGACAAAGTGCGGCGGCTCAGCCAGCGGAGACGTAGACAGGTACTGGAAATATTAACCAAAAAACTTGTTTTATATCAACWAATAAAAAGGTTAGTCTCATTATTTAGCACTTTAATAAACAAATAGTACATCAACATCTGGGTAAATTAAGTAAAGACTCTACCTTTAAAATGGTGTCATCATTCTGTGACAACCAGAAGGCAATGTCCATATTAGGAGACCACTTGCATGGGCCAAGTTTAACAAGTCCACGGTTTGAGTCGTATATGTCGGCCATCTGCACAAAACCAGAATTGTTTTTAGAGATAGATATTTTGTATTTTTCAGGCACAGTTCAATCCTATACTTCAATCAAGTAACTAAGTTACCTTCAGTTATGAGAACACTGAATGTATCAAAAATACATTTGACTTATTTGTACTCTGACTTTAATTTAAATTTAGATAGACCAAAATATTATTTGTCTTTTGCCTTAATTTGATTAAAAAAGCATTAAAAAATGGAACACTTGAGCAAATATCTAAACTGTTGACAATTACAAAAAAAACTTGACTTTTTGACTTTTTGGCTAAAATCACAAACTTTATTTTACCGGTCCTCCAGAGAAAGTGCGTGCAGATCGCAGCTCTTCTGCAGGTCCTTTATGAGGGAAGGAGGCAGGAAACACTTCCCCTGTTTTAACATTTACACCTGAAAAACATACAAAAATGAACCAAAACGTTACAAAAATTAACACAGCACAACTGTAACTCACCTATTCCATAAAGAACGGGTCTATGAATTCCATTTTCAACCATGTCGTTCATCTCTGCAACRCAAAAGAGTTTAACTGGGTGAAGCTGGATTGTGTTTAAATATAAATATCTTTCAGATGGTTGTAATAATACCTGTGATGCAACAAGTTTCCAGGTGAATTTCCTCCCTCTGTTTCTGAAATGCTGCTATAAAGTTAAAAAAATTGCGAATTAAATTTGACGAAGCTCAGATTTTGTTCGGGAACAGTTTTTGTTTTTAGAGAAAAAAGCGTCTGATTTTTACCCAGTATGTTAAAGCTGAGTTTGTGAGACGTTTTTGCATCATCATTAAATCCTCCGACAAGATGGAGCTCAAATCTGCACACAGGAAAGGAAAAGAAACGGAAGCAAATAAATAAATGAGATTTAAAATATTAAAATAGCATCAATCCATCCATCCATCCCTGTGTGAGAGGCGGGGACAGGCTGGACAAGTTGAAAGTCCATCACAGGCAAACAAGAATGAATGTATGTCTACGTCATACCTGCCCTCTTTACAGACTTTACTCAGCAACGCCACAGCTTTTACAATGAGCAGGACTTCAGACCAGGTGTTGGAGCCGTCACAGTGAGCAAGGCAAACAGCTCCACTACCTATAGAATAATAAAATTACATCATAGTCGGCACAGCTACTTCTTATTTTATTTAGAAGGTAAGCTAAAGAGACAGCGTGTGTTTTGTAGAAGGAACATTACCGGTGTGTCGTAGGACGACCACATGGCAGGTCGTAGCATCATCCGATCCAAGGACTGAAACACAGTCTGAAAAGGATTTAACGAAGCATGACGTCATTATACATTAATGGTATAATCAAATATAGCAAGCACAAAAGCAGCTATAACTTCAGMTTTACAAACACTGAACTAAAACTGGCGTGGTAGTAACTGAGAGTCCTCCTCGGTACAATTAGACAGTGCATGATCTTAGTTTATAACAATGGCACACAAGGCAGCAGGCAACATGCGTCCCATCAAGATTCAGATGTATAGCTGGACTCACTGTCTGCTGGTGTTGTTGCTGCTAACTCTCTCTGCTGAACGTACAAGAGGCACTTTGGGTCCACATCGACAAGTGGCCTGGAGCGAAACGTTCTCGCATTTTCCTGTAAAAGGATATATTTCATTGTTTAAAAATGTAAATGTGTAATACCTTTTATGTAAAACAGTTGACCCCCCACTCACACACACACACACACACACACACACACACACACACACACACACACACACACA